AAAAGAGTATTTATGTTTTACACATCATTAACTGTAGATTTGTACATTTACCCTACTATCCAATGCTTTAACTGCTGTAGGTTCGGACATGTCAAGATGCAGTGTCGTTCAAATCCTCGGTGTTATAAATGCAGGCAAAATCATACAGGTGATAAATGTGAAGTAGATGAGGAAAATGTTTCTTGTATCTTGTGTAATGGTTCTCATTCAGCAATTAGTAAAAAATGTCCTGAATATGCACGTCAGAAAGCCATTAAAGAAACAATGGCCCATAGTTGTGTTTCTTATGCTGAAGCATCAAAATTTCATCCTCCAACTTCTAAACTATATTCAGATGTATTAACATCATCATCTCCTTCCAATAAATCTCATTTTCAATCTTCTTTCCTTAAAGAGAAATCATCATTACCACATATACAATCATCATATAAAAAAACAGTTACACTTAAACCACGCTCTCCTCAAAAAATACAACAAGGATATGATCGTTCTGCCCATGAAGCCATAGTTAAGGAATATAATATTCCTGCTCCCTCTAATGGTTGTGCATTATCATCAAATAATATTGACAATAATCAATCCATCATTGATATTATTCTCATGCTTATTAAAGTGTTATCGCAATCAAAAATGATACAAACAACTTTACCACCGTCCAACGATGCCATGTACAATGTATTTTCTCAATTATTAACTTCTCACAATGGATTACAAAGTCCAAATAATTCAGTGGAACTGTCGTAGCATAACAAATAAGAAATCAGACTTATTTTATTTGATTAATAAATATAATCCTTTTTTAATAGCTCTACAAGAGACTTGGTTAAAGCCAGGATATCCTTTTAGGATTTCAGGCTTTACAAGTCTCCGTGATGATAGAGCTGACGGATATGGCGGTGTTGCCATATTGGTCAAAAACTCCCTTCTTTTTTCTTCTTTTTCGCTTCCTGTATATAGCGGCATTAATGCAGCTGCTATAATTATAAATGGTATCTGTTTTGTTACTTTATATATTCCTGATCCTACATGCCAAATATATTCACAACTAGAACAATTATTTTCAATTTTACCTAAACCTTTTCTCGTAATGGGCGATTTTAATGCTCAGCACCAATCGTGGGGCAGTTCTACTTCTAATTTTTATGGTGGAAAACTCCTGACGATAATTGACACTTACAACTTATGTATTATTAACTCAGATGTACCGACACGTAGAACTGCACCGAATGAAGGGTTTAGTGCTCCTGATATTTCAATATGTTCTTCTGATTTAGCTTCTTCACTGTCGTGGTATCCTCATTCCTCTACCTTCGGAAGCGATCACTTTCCCCTCATTCTTTCTTTTCCAATTTCCATTCCCTCAAGTCGAAAGAGTGGTCCTCGACTTAAATATAATTTATCAAATGTAGACTGGAATATTTACAAACAATATTTAGATAATAAAATATCGGAGTTACCTATTGTTTATCATGGAAATGAACATCAATGTTGTAATGACTTGATAATTAATATGAAGGAGGTTGCTGATTTATTATTTCCTGTTAAAAATAGTGCTTCAGGGAAAATTCCCTCGACACCTTGGTGGGACAAAGATTGTACGGAAGCAATTAAAAATCGTAAAGAGGCTGAAAAAAATTATAATAATTACATGACATCAGAAAATTTTGAAATTTACACCGCAGTTTCACGTTCTACTCGAAAACTACTGAAAAAAAAGAAATTGGAAGGTTGGAGAAGATTTTGTTCTTCTATCTGTCCAGAAGTTAATTCATCAGTCGTTTGGAATAATATTAAAAGATTCAGATCTGCCTTTAGTGATCATACATCACGTTCTGCACTCGATTTAACTTTAGCGAATAAATTTTTAGATCGCCTTGCTCCTAGTTATGTGCCGGAATGCCTTTACAATATTTCTCTATCCGTCTCTGACGAATTATCCGACCTTGAGTCTCCTTTTACTCTTGTAGAACTTAAAGGTGTTCTAGCTTGTATTAAAGACTCTGCACCGGGAGAAGACGGTATACCGTATTCCTTTTTAAAAATGCTAGCGATGCGACATTAATTTACTTTTTAAATATAATTAATTCCATAATTATTTCGGGAAATATACCTACTTCATGGAAGTCTCAGATTATTATACCATTTCTAAAGCCTCATAAACCACCTTCTGAACCATCTTCATACCGTCCTGTTGCACTTTCCTCTGTCTTACTAAAGCTAGCTGAACATTTAGTGAAGAACCGTCTAGAATGGTTTTTAGAAAGTAATAACTTACTATCCCCGAACCAGTTTGGTTTTAGGAAAGGTAAGAGCACCTTAGATAATGTGAGCATTCTTATTTCAGATATTCATATAGCTTTCTCACAAAATTTGTCAATCCTCTCAGCCTTTTTAGATATAAATTCTGCCTATGATAATGTAATCATTTCTATTTTAAAAACTAAATTACAAGCTTTAAATGTACCGGTAATGCTTTCTAATTTCATTATTAATATTTTATCAGAAAGAATAATACATATGGATCTAGATGAAGATACCAAATTATCTAGAACAGTATGGAAAGGCCTTCCACAAGGATCTGTTCTAAGTCCAATTTTATTCAACATATACACATACGATCTAGAATCATTCCTTGATAAATCCGTCAAAATTTTACAATATGCTGATGATCTCTTATTATATTTTATTGCCAAGTCCATAGAATCTGCTTCTGCCAAATTATCTGATTCATTAGATTTGTTAAAAACGTGGTTAGATGCAAATGGTCTTAATCTTTCTGTAACCAAGAGTAGTGTAGTTTTGTTTTCAAGAATGAGATCACCGCAACAAATTAAGGTGCTTTATGATAACTCATACATTCCTATAAAGACTGAAATTAAATTTTTAGGTATCGTGCTAGATAATAAATTAACAGGTCTGTCCCACTGTAATTATATTTCCACGAAATGTGAGCGTAACCTCAACATTCTTAGGTGCCTTGCTGGAGTTTGGTGGGGAGCACATCCCGTTTCACTAAAACTTGCTTATAATGGTCTTATAAGGAGTGTCATTGATTATGGAACTTTTTTGTTAGCTCCAGGAAGTTCATTTGCTTTTAAGAAATTGGATTTAATTCAATCAAAGGCCTTGAGGATTATCTCTGGAGCAATGAAATCAAGTCCAATCAATGCTTTACAGCTCGAAGTCGGTGATCCACCTTTGGTTTTAAGAAGGCAATATCTATCTGATCGCTTCTTTTTTCGTTGTTTACAATTATCTGATCATCCGCTTATTCAAAAGTTATCTCAACTACATATCTTTATTTCGTCTTCATCTTATTGGAAACATAAAAAACCTCCATGTTTAATACAAAGTTATGAAAAATATAAATCCATAGAATCTCCCACTTTTACATCGTCCTGTTTTCCCATTTATAAATGCTCATATCAATCTTTAGTTTTATCTCCTAATATTAAATATGATTTTGGGTTATCAAAAAATGATTCAGAATTGAATGCCAAATTTATGTTTATAACTGACATTGAATGGAATGAATGGCACTACATCTTTACTGATGCATCAAAACCAGACAATAGCGGTTGTGTAGGTGTGGGTGTGTTTCATTCACAATTTAATATCGTTCAAAAAATTAAACTTCCACCGGAATCTTCAGTTTTTACCGGGGAATGCTATGGTATTTTAAAAGCTGTAGAATATATACTTTTAATGAAATTACATAAGGCAATAGTTTTCACTGACTCTATGAGCTCTTTGCAAGCTCTAGCCAAATATCCGTTTAAATCAAAACCAGTCTATCCCATTATTTGTGACATAAGACAAAGTCTTTATCTTTGCATGTTGAGAGGGTATTCCGTTTCTTTTGCCTGGTTACCAGGACACAGTGGTATTAGCGGCAATGACAAAGCTGACCTTATTGCAAGAGAGGCTGTAACTTGTGGTGATATGTATCCGTATCATAATTACTGTAGTGACCTAGCTTGTCTCCCAAAAATATATTTAAGGTATGCCTGGAAGGAATATTGGGAAAAAACAAGTACAATAAAAGGAAGATTTTATCGCCTTATACAACCCGATATTCCTTTCAAACCATGGTTTTGTAAATTAAAGCTTGGAAAGACCGCAACAACTATTATAACTCGTATGCGTCTAGGTCACGTATGCACACCTTCTCATTTATACAAGCTTGGTATTGTACAAAGTTCGTCGTGTAATTGCGGTGCTGAAGTGGCGGACTTGAATCACATATTCTTCTCATGTTCTAAATTTGACCACACCTCCCTTTTTAATCATCTCCGATCCATCCGTGTTCCATTCCCAACTTCTATTCTTACTCTACTTTCTTCCAATGATCCTATTATCTATAAAATACTATCTTCATATATATATGATAACAATATTAAGATTTAGTTATATTACATGAATACATTTATAGTTGCATCAATTGCTTTTCCTATATATTTATAAGTATATTCTCATATGTACAAGTATATCTTTCATATCCTATAAATATCCTAGACCTAATCCTTATCCTTTCTAAATTCGTTTGTGTTAGGTATTTTTATTACTATTATCGTTTCCCCGTTTTGTTCTTGGCAAAATACCCTAATATCGGGGTGAACGCCACAAAAGAAGAAAAAAAAAAAAAAAAAAACGCGCCAAAAGCATAAAGTGCAGGTCATTTTGAACATTTAAATATGTATATGAAATGAATGAAACATTTAAGTGAAAAAAAAAAAAAAAAAAAAACTATGAAGCGAGTATATTTTAAGACAGCGATAGATATAAGTTTTTTGAACAACTTTATTAACAATTGTTACTTATAGTTAAATATCATTTTCTAGGTTCGTCAATATAAAATTAGTATAGAGTCGTTGATTTCCTATTCTATAAGATCGTGAATCCTTTTTAAATTTCGCTTCATGTACAATCATCGTCAGATAATTAAAAAAAATAGTGATAGGAAAAGAATAGGTTTATCTCGGGTTTTGAAACTAAATGAAGAAAGCAGAATTTTTTTTATTCATAATTATTTTACTCATATTTAATAATGGTACATATTATTTTTTGTAAATATAATTTTCATAAATATGTATTATATTTTACTTGTAAAAAAGGTACTCCACTGGTTAAGTCAATTCGGTTATTTTTCGCATTAAATTACTATTTTTATTAATATTTTTATTACATTTTAAGTACAATACAGTATATTACAAAGTCACAGAACGAGGTAGAATTATCACGTGATTATTTTTAGCCCTCTGCAGACGTACTTCCCTATTGTCTTCGCGATGTCTCTGAAAATAAATACAAAATGTATTATAGTTAAAATAGGGAGAAATCGAAATCACTAGTGCTTTTAAAGTAAGTGTTCTACGGATGCAAATGTAGTTTACAAGTTCAATGGATTAATATAAATTTCTGCTACCACCTGATGGAGAATTTGGAGGCGTTGTTGGGTGTGGTATAAGGCAAAAGAGCGTCGGTTACTCGCTGCGCGGTCCGCTCTGCACATTCACTGCGATCTATCCATATGGATTCACAATGGGAACTGGAACAAAAACGAGTTGTATCTCAAACAGTATATTTGGTTTTGATGCGTATAGGTAGATGCGTTTATTACTTATATAAAAATATTTCTTCACGTAATCTATCTCAATATAAGTTAATGAAAAGGGAACCAACTGTTATAATAATCACAGAAGCACTTTCCAAATGAAGTTAGTAAAAAATAGAAACATTTTTTATTTGTACTAATGTTGAATGTCAGCCGACTATCTTTGGTACAGTATAAGTATGATTTTGATTTAGTCAGTTGTTAGTTGGATTACACTTTCATCAAGTTGTATTGAAGCAAAGTAGACGATCGATTTTGATTCTGATTAGCGTTTTTTATATTTCTTTGGTGGCAAACAAGCATACGGCCCGTCTGTTCGTAAACGGGGTTACCGTAGCCTATGGACGTTTGTAACACCAGGGATATCACGCGCGCGTTGCCGACCCTTAAGAAACCTTAATACGCCCTTTTTGAAGCACGCTGTAGTCTATAGGGAAAGCCTCAGTAGGATGATCATTCCACAACCTGAGTGTTCGCGGGAGGAAGCTTCTCAAAAACTTCAATGTTTTCTAAAATTAAAATTTCAGCTTGATATTACAACCAAATCTTTATTCTAAGGACCAATGTGAACTAAATTTCTAATAGATTTAAATAAAACTTATTATAAATTTGGTTTGTAATTGTTAACGAAGCAGTAATGTCGCAAAGTTTTCAAATTAAAATATTAGGTTAAGTGATAAGGGTGGAGAATGGGTCCCCAGAATTGGCTTCTAGCAGGGCCATAACTAGATCCAAGTTTAAGGTAGGGCAACAGAACTTTTTGGTAGTGCAAAAGTTAAATGACATCGAAAAAGCGAATCTGTCTAATTTTCTTGGGGCCTTTCATTGTAAGGTAGGGCATTGTCCCTCATTGCCCCTCTTCCCCGCCCCCTAGTTACGACCATGTATAAACGTGATCGTAAATTATAGTACAACTTACATTAGTAGTTCCAAGAATGTAGTAATTATACCATGCTCAAGTTCGTAACCATCTGACCTCGTCGTTAAGGTGTGAAAACGTAACGATCACATTTTCAAAGAAATACCTTTACCGATTCGCACCGCTTGTCGCGTTTACCACCAAACGCTAACATCCGATCAAATATTGGACTTGGTATTTGTTCTACGGATTTGGGTCAAGATTTATTTTTCATGGGCACAACTTAACCGACTGTCAAGTATATCATACCGCAGACAATAAGTTGTTTATTTTTACTTATAAATAAGAGGGTAATGTGTTCCGGGTGTTGGTATGGAATGCGCCTATATTTAAATCTTTTATCAAAATATCTAGGTACAGTACATTTAGAGATACAATCCCGGGATCCAAAAGCAATCCGAATGACAAAGGCAATTGGCTGTTACATATGCAGCTATAATAATTATATATCTCAATCATGTACTCTCCCATTCTATTGATCGCAAAGGTCGTAAGTTTTAATCTAACCGAAACCAAACACTTTGTGTTTTGACATACTAAATATATCGTGTACGTAAATTTGCACGATTTGCAATTAAAACTTAAATTTTAATGTGTTAATCATAACAACATATCAATGTTAATTAACATATACACACAAAAGTGAACATTGTACATTCATCGTCATAGAAATCATCTATATAAAAGAAAAACTTGTTTACGAGCTATCTTCATTGGCATATTTTATGATTTTACTGTTGGGCTTAGGATTCTAATATAGTTATTTGCCTCAGCAAAGAACTTTTCAAAGAACCCGCAAGAAAATTTATAAATAAATACATGAAAATTTATAAGAAAAATACTGATAATTATATAAGAATGTATCAAAGCTATTTAATTGATACTTTTCAGCGACGTGTTGTAAGCTGGCTTGCACAACTGCGTCAAATGCAGCGCCGGCCACGCTGTACGCGCTGTTGTCCGCTCCTGCGCCCGCGCACGCCCATGCAATACATCCGCCCGGCCTCACCATTACAGAGAGGTTCTCGAGTGTCTGTAAAATTGATATAATACAATATTTTGTTTTATAAAAAACTACTTCGATTGTAAAGGATTGCCGTGTGCATCCAGTATTTAATGGGCTACCCCTTCCTTTCCCGTGAATGTTGTAAAAGGCTGTATCTTTTTTAAAAAGTTACCAAAGCCTAACTGCGGTTGCCAACCTGCCTGCCAGGCGTGGCAACTACTGGCATAACCCACCAATAGGGGAAGACCTATGTTCAGCAGTGGACAGTTAACGGCTGATATCATCGTCATCATTATTAATACTTACTTTCAAATTGTTATACACGTCTTCTGATACGAACTCGGCCATTCCGTTCAAGCATTCGGTCCGAGGCACCGCGCCGATTACCACCAGAGCATCCACTCTGGTCACCGCTCCACTCCGCGCCCCGTCCAGCACATCTTCGGTCGCTGTCTTCACAGCACAACCACGTGATTCCAGTTGTGTTTTTAAATGTTTCCCCAATATGTTATCGCTGTTTGTAATCTGTGAATAGAAATGTAGACTTTGTAATACAGTCTTCTGCATGAAAAGAACTTGTATGGCTGTCTTTCCATTTGATGATGATGAAAATGATGGGTAATATATACCAATATATTGTAGTCACAATAACTATATATTGGCCTATGATATATTAAATATTGATTGTCTAACATATAATATTAAAATGAAGTACTCGACTGAAACGAATGGAGATATCCGACCGGTATGGGCGATATCGAAATGGGTGATGGCCTTTTTTCCATCATCATTTTTCATAGGCACACCAACAGTTTATATCATCATTTCAGCCATTATCCGTCCACTACTGGGCATAAGCCTCCCCCCATAGAGTATACATATTATAGATAAATTAAATATTTTTTTTTTGTGTAGCATGGTGATATGTATACCTGTAGCAGGTTTACATAACATTGACTATAAATTAGATCCACATAAATGGCACAATATAATTAATACAGTAAACTAAATAAATAATTACATATTTATTATAATAAAGTATAATGTGCACGTCATGGTACATTTTATAATTCAGGGTGCCATTCATATCCACAGGGGACAATTACCACTTTCCAGCAGATGGACCGTCAGTCCATTTGCCGTAACAAATTGTACAAGAAAAAATGTTCCCGTTCTGTAATAATTTGGATTTTTTTTTATTTAATTATTACCAATATCCTCTAAAGTCCTAAGAATTCTTACTTGACTGTGTAATTAGAAAGAAAGAAATATTTCTTTAGTATTTAATTTTATACATGATAATAAAAAACATTTAACAAAAATTAAAAAGAAGAAGCACTAAAATGGTGTCACTCAGCTATATGCCATGTTTTTGAACATAACGCTCATTTTCCCATTAATATAATAGTCGTTATTTATCATTAAATAAATAGTGACTTATAAGTTTATCACGACCTCATAGAATATAAACATGTTCTATTATAAATGCTTATCACGAATCATGTCACTGATCCTGATAAAACATCAACCAGTTTTTATATTGGTCAATACCGGTACCTATAAAATTTGTAAAATTTTATTATTACATACATGTCTCATGTCATGTTTCCGAGGACGAGATATGAAAGTAAATGAAGCAAGAAATGTCTTCCGTATTACACTTGTGTAATGTAGGTCATTTTGGACAAAATAAATACATTTACTATCATACAAGATCTGTATTTATTATTTTCTGTAAAACGAGTAGCCGCGGTTTATTACAGTAGATAGGTAAATCCGTTATATACAAAAAAAGTTGGAATGACATATTTTTGTATTGTATATTTTGAAATAAAACTTGTTTTGTATCAGTTTTCTATCGCCTTTTTTATTACCTCCCATTAATATTTACTATAATAATAATTTTTTACTTGGTGCAATAAAGTATAAATAAATAATAAATATTTATTTTTTTATCTTATTTATATTTTTATGTACACATTAGTAATACACAAAACATATTACAGAGGTAAGCATATGTACAAAGGCGAGCTTAACTCAAGAGTTCTCTTCCAGCAAACCCAAAATTTATATTAAAATTTGTTAAAATTAATATGTACCATATAAATAATAACAGGATAGGATTAGAGTTTTTTATGTACGCTTAATCTATGTGTGTGTATGTGCGGGAGAGGGGATTGTTAATAACGGGGACTAGCGGCCCCATTGCTAGCAATATACCCTGTCTACTCGACACCAACTTTCCTTGGAAATTATCAATGTTAATCCAAGGTGAAATCATCACGATGGGCCAAATGAGCTGACTTTATTCTCACCTATCATCACTCAATAGTAACCCACCAGAATAAACCGATCGCTTTTTTTGTAATGGGCGTGAATGAAGAACACAAGTGAGACGAATTTCACAAGAATTAACCACGATGGTTTCCAGGGGGGACTGCATGGAGTTCGATCTTATTATGGTGTATTGCTAGCAATGGGGTTGTTACTAACAATTACTAGCAATTACAAACCATCCCTTGCCCCTTACCAATCCATCTTCTTCCCATAAAAATACCATTCAGTTGTAAGATTTTTTGGCCCTTGGTCTTTGCAGCTTGCTTGATTTATCCATAAATACTATTATTTATTTAGGGATTTTTTTTATACATCCTACAACGGCAAACAAGCTGACGGCCCACCTGATGGAAAGTGGTAACCGTCGCCTATAGACATGAGCAGTACCATGGACATAACAGAGTATACTCGTACTGTTTCGCACATGATACCCCCCATGCGTTGCCATTCCTGAGGACTCAGATGTTATTCCCCTGTACCCAGTAAATTCACGCCACATCCCACCCTTCAAACCGAAACACAGCCATGCAAGCAACTGCTTCACGGTAGAAACACAGAGGTACCCAAGCAATCGACTTTTGTACAAAGTCTCCCTCTGGTGAACATAAACATTTAACATTTATTCACGTCATTTCATATAAACAAGGTTTACTTACGAGAACAGTATTGATTGTCCTTCTTCGAGGTTGCGGTCGTTTTGTAAGTCTGTTGCGAGCTGTGTACGCGAGCAGGGCTGACGTGGCGAGCAGAAACGAGCCCCCCTCCAAGGTGGCCAGTAACCGCCACGCCAGCGCCGCACCACCCACCACTGCTTCTGTCATATTCTGAAACGATTATCATATATATTCATTACTAACTCTGTTTATACTAACAACATTTTTGATAATAAAAAATAAATAATTAACCATTTTTTTGTTATTGAGCTTTGAACACAATAAAAAAAAAAACAATTACATTGTGAACATTATTGGGATATTGATTGATTAACTGAAATACTAATTAGTATTAAATTATTTTACTACTATGTGTGAGTGAGATAGTAATACGTCTATGTTACACAAGAAAAAAATACTATAATTAGATATAAAATAGCATTCAATCGTGACAGTTGTTTGCTTAAGGGGGGGGGGGGGAAGGATTTTATTAACAGCGACTCTGTTATTAGTAATATACACTAGCAGGTCGACCTCCACGTTTGCGCCCTTGAAATATATAATGCGCTAGTATACGTCGACAGCTTAGATCTACCAGAGATTTAAAAAAATCATCTACTATTATTTATATTCTCGTGTGATCCCGGCATGGAATAGGCCATCCCTTCCTTTTCCGTGAGTGTCGTAAGATGCGACTAAGGAAAAGCGAGGGATGGGCAGTAGCGTTCCACTTAAACCGTCTCCAAAGCCTAACTGCGGTTTTCTAATTGCAAAACCTCCCTAGGGGAGGCTTATGTTAGTAATTAGTTAGTTAATAATTGTTAGTAATGGGGTCTAATAGCCCCATTGCTAGCAATATACCCTGTAAGGTCGACTTGCATGCGATTCCCCCTGGAAACCATCATGTATAATTCTTGTGGAATTCATCATGGTGGGCCAATTGACCTGCATTCATTCTCGCCTATCATCTTCCACTGGTGCCTCGTCGGTGTATACCGATAGCATGGGCGGGGTTACCATTCCATTTTCACCCATTAAAAAAAATACTCGGACATCTTTACAAATATGCAGATTTGTAATATTTTATTAGTAGAACTATAGAAATAGTTGAGTATATTTACATGCGTCTAATTACAAATTTAATAACATAGGCATTTTGTACGCTTGTAGGATGGAATCTATTTATATTAATGCAATAGTGTGTGTAATGTTTGAAGAGATATATGTATGCTAAGGCAAATTCTGAATTTAGGCCACAAAGTAAATAAATATTACAATGAAACATGAATGTAAGTCGCAATTTAAAAAATCTTTTTTTTTTATACAATTTAGAATGGCAAACAAGCTGACGGCCCACCTGATGGAAAGTAGTACCCGTCGCCTATAGACATGTGCAGTACCATGGACATAATAGAGTATACTGTTTCGCCCATGACACAACCCCATGCGTTGCCATTCCTGAGGACTCAGGAATATCATATCATAATTCGAGACTTTGATATATCTCCTGTAAACACTGAAATACACCTATACCTAAAATGTGTTAAAAGGTTGGATTTGTTTTTAAATTTTCAAACGTTGGCAGTTGCAGACATATTGATGGAAGCGCAAATAAACAAAATAATTCTAATTAAATACTGGTTATTGAGTCCAGCCGCGAAATTAAAAAAAAAAAAAAAAATATATATATATATATATATATATATATATATATATATATATATATATATATATATATTTAGAGAAATTTTGATTAAATAAAATAATTTTAATTAAATAACCGAATAAAAAGTTGATTTAGCCTAGCCGCGAAGTGAAAAATTATAGCTAGAAAAATTCTGAATATAGCAGATATTATTTCGAATCTGCAGGATATTACGTAAAATATCCTATACGTTAGGATATAATTAACCCGTGTACCAATTTTTATTCAAATCCGTTTAGTAGTTTTTGCATGAAAGAGTAACAGATTTACCATCATTTTATCCATTCAGCCACCGTTATAAAGTTTTGCATTTATTTTATTAATAGGATTATTTTATCGGTTTGAAGGGTGGGATATAGCGTGAATTTACTGGGTACAGAGGAATAACACCTGAGTCCTCAGGAATGGCAACGCATGGGGGGTATCATAGACGAAACAGTATACTCTGTTATGTCCATGGTACTGCTCATGTCTATAGGGGACGGTTACCACTTTACATCAGGTGGGCCGTCAGCTTGTTTGCCATTCTAGTTGTATAAAAAAAATTAACATTAAAAATGTGTTATGACCTTTTATGTAGTTTGTAAAATTATTAAGACGAAATTGAGTAATGGATATGATTAGGCCACGTGTCGATCATTAGTCATGTGAAGCAAGAGACGGATGAAGTACATTGTAATATTATTACGTGAAAGTAATCGACCGTGTTTGTTAATGTATATATATATATATATATATATATATATATATATATATATATACATTAACAAATATATATATATATATATATATATATATATATAGGTATCTTCAGGGTCGTCAACGCGCGTGTAATGCTCCTGGTACGGTAGGTCTACCGTGAAATGGCTTCCTAAATTTTAGGACCGAACGAAACACAAATCTCATGTTAAAATTACATAACACTGCTGCTCATCCCTCGATCATTGAGTTCCTTTAGTTAGAAAGTAAGGGCTGGTCCGTTCTATGACGAGACCACACGGCTTAATCATATAAAGTATTCATCATCATCATCTCAGTCATTGTCTGTCCACTGCTGAACATAGTCCTCCCCCATAGTCTGTACAAAAGTCGATTGCTTGGGTACATCTGTCCCATTCATGTTTCAACCGTGAAGCAGTTGTGTTTGCATGGCTGTGTTTCGGTTTGCAGCCACCGTCATAAAGTTTTGCATTTATTTTATTAATAGGATTATTTTATCGGTTTGAAGGGTGGGATATGGCGTGAATTTACTGGGTACAGAGGAATAACACCTGAGTCCTCAGGAATGGCAACGTATGGGGGGTATCATGGGCGAAACAGTATGCTCTGTTATGTCCATGGTACTGCTCATGTCTATAGGGGACGGTTACCACTTTACATTAGGTGGGCCGTCAGCTTGTTTGCCATTCTAAGTTGTATAAAAAAAAATAAAGAACGATCCTGACTTGCCTACATCCGTTGACTCCCTAAAATGAGGATTATTCGCAAAATAACCGAAGTCATCGACAATCTGAAGGATAAGCAAGCTGAAGTGGTTATGGGCTGGTCACATAGTTCGAAAAACTGACTACCGATAAGGAAGAAATGTTCATGAGTGGCGACCCCGTACAGGCAAACGCAGTGTAGGACGACCCCCTACTAGATGGAGAGAAAACCTCAAATATAAAGTATTATCACAGATAAATTTGTTGATTGAGCAATATACTTTTTCTCCACGTTCTTTGAAATTGACCTTCACAAATGTCTCTGAATGACAAGGCTTACAGATTAATTGAATTACTAATCACATAGTCTATAAGGCGAGTTATTAGTATGAACTAACGTTTATTTAATTTTGTGTTTGTACTTTACCTTATTAATATAGGAAGACAAATTAAGAAAAGACAACTAATAGGTATTCGTTGTATATTGTTTGCCATGGTGTTAGTGATATTTGTTATGTAACTTTAGAATATTTAAACATCATTTTAAGAGTAAAGGAGGTAAAATATAAAGTATTTTGAGAGATATTTTGTACTAATAATATATATATATATATATATATATATATATATATATATATATATATATATATATATATATATATATATATATATATATATATATATATATATATATATATATATATATGTATATATACATATATATGTCTAGATCCTCCACGACCTCTTACATCTTAATATTTCAACCACTCCTTATTGACTTTGGTATACAATGTACAATTTTTTTTAATTCTTAAGGGCTTTTACCCTCTTCAGGTATATCTTTCTACCGATAGCGCGGGGTATAGTGAGCGGATGGAGGAGGATAGTGAACCTTTTTTTTAATGGATGATAATGGAATGGTATTCCCGCCTGAGGGATGATAGGTGAGAATGAATAAAAGTATTAGAGACTTTGTACAAAAGTCGTTTGCTTGCGTACCTCTGTCCCATTCGTATTTCAACCGTGAAGCAGTTGTGTTGGCATGCCTGTGTTTCGGTTTGAAGGGTGGGATATGTAATATATAATTTACTGGGTACAGAGGAATAACACCTGAGTCCTCAGGAATGGCAACGCATGGGGGGTATCATGGGCGAAACAGTATACTCTGTTATGTGCATGGTACAGCTCATGTCTATAGGCGACGGTTACCACTTTCCATCAGGTGGGCCGTCAGCTTGTTTGCTATTCTTAGTATAAAAAAAAAGTATGAATTTCAACCAATGAAATATACCTACCACTTTCAGATGACATTATAAGATGAACTACATGATACACCAAATTTTAAGTTAGACGTTTCCGCATCGAATTTGGTGAAGTACTATTAGCATGATGCCAGAACAAATACTACAGAAAGACAAGCAGACGGACAGACGTCACTAGGCATCGTCTAGTTAGAACTTATTATTATTAAGAAGATAATATTATGTTACCTTATGTCTTGTCTACAAACAAGTAGGTTAGTTTGTTGAGGTCAAACCCATTATTTTAGTTCGCTTTCGACAATATTCTTTACCAAGGTGAATATCTTTATATGGTCGGATTATATTACGAAACTGATTCTTTTAAACTTCACGCTCGCCGTTCAAGTGAAGCGCTGCTTATAATTTCTTTTTAGAACAGAAGGAATATTATGTGATATAGCGGTGCGCGGATCCGAATGAACTAAATTACTACACCGATTTTGATAAAATTCCTATGGGGACAATCTGTATTTCTTCTTAGATAAAAATAAGTAATTTTGAAGTCGGTTTATAAGTGACTAAGTTATGGGGTAATAAATATAGAAAAAAAATGAAACCGAATTGAGAACCTCCATATTTTTGAAGTCAGTAGCCAGTACAGTAATAATAATAATTATACATATTATAATTTTTTTTTATACAACTTAGAATGGTAAACAAGCTGACGGCCCACCTTATGGTAAGTGGTAACCGTTATCTATAGACATGAGCAGTACCTGAGGACTCAGTTGTTATTCCTCT